TGTTTTGTTCCAAGTGCAGTGTCTCTGGACTTTTCACTGTGTTCACTTTTCAGGAGGAAGTTCCAGACGAGGTTCTCTTTGCCGGCCCTCACTTTTACAGGCAGTAACCGAGAATATTGCGATTCAGGATGGTAAGTCGGTAGCACTCGGAATGGTTCATGTACCCGTGATCAAAACATCGTGATGTGTGCTGCAGTTACCTCCCTTCCGATGCTCAGCTAGTAAATCTACTTCAAAAGGTGTTTTGTTCCAAGTGCAGTGTCTCTGGACTTTTCACTGTGTTCACTTTTCAGGAGGAAGTTCCAGACGAGGTCCTCTTTGCCGGCCGTCACTTTTACAGGCAGTAACCGAGAATATTGCGATTCAGGATGGTAAGTCGGTAGCACTCGGAATGGTTCATGTACCCGTGATCAAAACATCGTGATGTGTGCTGCAGTTACCTCCCTTCCGATGCTCAGCTAGTAAATCTACTTCAAAAGGTGTTTTGTTCCAAGTGCAGTGTCTCTGGACTTTTCATTGTGTTCACTTTTCACGAGGAAGTTCCAGACGAGGTCCTCTTTGCCGGCCCTCACTTTTACAGGCAGTAACCGAGAATATTGCGATTCAGGATGGTAAGTCGGTAGCACTCGGAATGGTTCATGTACCCGTGATCAAAACATCGTGATGTGTGCTGCAGTTACCTCCCTTCCGATGCTCAGCTAGTAAATCTACTTCAAAAGGTGTTTTGTTCCAAGTGCAGTGTCTCTGGACTTTTCACTGTGTTCACTTTTCAGGAGGAAGTTCCAGACGAGGTCCTCTTTGCCGGCCGTCACTTTTACAGGCAGTAACCGAGAATATTGCGATTCAGGATGGTAAGTCGGTAGCACTCGGAATGGTTCATGTACCCGTGATCAAAACATCGTGATGTGTGCTGCAGTTACCTCCCTTCCGATGCTCAGCTAGTAAATCTACTTCAAAAGGTGTTTTGTTCCAAGTGCAGTGTCTCTCTGGACTTTTCACTGTGTTCACTTTTCAGGAGGAAGTTCCAGACGAGGTTCTCTTTGCCGGCCCTCACTTTTACAGGCAGTAACCGAGAATATTGCGATTCAGGATGGTAAGTCGGTAGCACTCGGAATGGTTCATGTACCCGTGATCAAAACATCGTGATGTGTGCTGCAGTTACCTCCCTTCCGATGCTCAGCTAGTAAATCTACTTCAAGAGGTGTTTTGTTCCAAGTGCAGTGTCTCTGGACTTTTCATTGTGTTCACTTTTCACGAGGAAGTTCCAGACGAGGTCCTCTTTGCCGGCCCTCACTTTTACAGAAAGCAACCGAGAATATGGCGGTTCAGGATGGTAAGTCGGGAGGGAGCACTCGGAATGCTTCATGTACCCGTGATCAAAACATCGTGATGTGTGCTGCAGTCACCTCAATTCTAACGCTCAGCTCGTAATTCTACTTCAAGAGGTGTTTTGTTCCAAGTCTCTGGATAGGGGTGAACGAAGAAACGAATTTCTGCTATGGGGTATGTTAAAAGAAATATCGCCCTCAAGGAAAAGTTGTCCTCTCTTGTTCGGATATATATTACAGGATTATTGAAACCGTTGTTTGCTGGCTTTTTAAATTCAGGACATCCGTTGTCGAGGACGTCGCATGTTTTGTGTTGATTGTTTGTTGAATTAATAAACTTTTCTTTTTATCCGCCGAATCGCAATTATTTTAGCAGTGCTGTACAACATCGTGGCGTTTTGTATCGTGCTCGACCGACGCAACACGGATCTGCCGTTTCGTACAAATATAAGGAGTCAAACGCGACACGCCAGACTCCAAGAGCTCGTCTCAGGAACGTGCTTTCCGAGGCTAGCGTTGGGCGTCTCGGACACTTTATTTTTGTATAGAACCACAAATCCGGTGCGTCGGTCGAACGCACCGTTTAAATGTTAGAACCAATGGCGAAAAGTATTGCATGCAACGTAACCTCCCATATTGTATATCTGAGGCATGTATACCCTATACAAAAGCTTACAGAGTTATAGGTTACAATGTACCTTATAAAATAGAGGTATACTAGGATTAGAAAGTGTTCACTTATTTTACAGGTTACCGAGCTTTAGAGTGTCTAGCTCGGAGTTCCTGCGTGCATCTTGTGTTGACGAAGGTACACGAAAACTGCATAAAGTTACTCCCACAGACGGAACCGGACGACGAATTCTCAGGGGATTCGCCAGCTGGCACGAGTTCGCCAGAATATGAGGATGTGCGGCTGCTTTTGAACCGTTTTACGTATTCAGTGTCAGACGTGCCCTGGAAATCCCTCCCATGCGCTCCACCCTCTTCTCTGTGATACCATTTACCGAAAATGTTTTAAACCAGAAATTAGTACTTGCCGCCACCATATCATGGACCCAGAGAACTAGCAGAATATCCAGTATGGGGATATGCCGGAATCCAACAATGGCGAGTAAATTTAAAATCCAGAATCCCTTGTCCTTAAAGGACCCCTGCAATCATATTTAAGTGTCTACCTTTTTTTTGCGGTTTCCACGTCTCCTGGGGTTCGGGCAAGCCAGCGGGCACGGAGAGAGTAACTAAATATCAGTGCGACAATATTTTAACGGGACGACGCAAAAACCTCCTTCACCTACGGGGGCGACCCGCGGTGCCGAAAGCGTGCGATATGTGAAGTCTTTAGTCTGGGCTTACTGGTGGTCAGAGTCGCTAAAAGCTTGTTTTCAGTCGAATTACAAAATATAAGTAGCGCGAACCGTTTCAATTATTGATAAAAGTTGTTTTTGTTCAGTATTATAGATCAGAAAAGAAACAAATGCAGTTTATAAAGTACGGAAACAAGAAATAACCCGTCGACATATCTGCCACCAAGTGGTGGAAAAGGCGGCGCATAGTACAAGGGTGTAGTGAGATCAGGCACCGACGAGCGGCGAGCGTAGAAAGCTCCCGGATGTACGCGGCAGCGCTGCGGTCGTATACGGACTCGAGAGTCTGACCGGTTCCGAGCGTTCCGAAGGCCTTCGGCGAGAAGGTTTGGCTTGCGGCTGGGCCATTTGGCGGTGCGGCAGCGCGAAAAGGCTCCCGTTCTGAACTGATCTTTACCCCGTTTTTGTTGTCGTTTTGTGGCCAATGAAGTGTCATGCCGAATTAGTGTTGAATGGCGCAGAAAATTCAATGCGAGCCGCCCTGGCTGCCCGCTTCATACAGCCTATCCAGAACATGCTTTAGTGGCGCCCTCTCCAACCGTTGACACGGAGTGCGGCAGCCGTGAGCGCTCGCTGAGCTCACTACCCCTCCCCTATTTCACGGCCACTCAAGCGACCAAGGAAGTCAGAAAGTAGGTTATTTTTTGCTTGTCCTTTGTAATTTTCATTTGCCTATAACTTTTAAAATAAAACAAAATTCGAGGAAAGAAATGTTACATTAAGTTACTACGTTCAGTGCGCTCAGGTTTGGTGCAAATAAAAAAAAAAACAGCAAAAAAGTCTTTGCAGGGCCACTTTAAGCGGATGCCGCACAATTTGATTACCCAATGGCGCCTGCACAATATATGACTGAAAAGTGCCCAACTTGACTTCTACACTCGTATGTACAAACTCGAAAATACTTTTTTTTTTTTTCAAATTTAAATTTTGGGTGGAGGTCTGACAGGCTTACTCGCGTACGGGCCCTAACCTTTCTGCACAGCCTTGCACGCCACCCGGGATCACATATTTTTCTTGCAAATAATTATTATTGTTATTATTATTAGTATTATTACTATTATTATTACAATTAAGCCTCCTCGCAAAATCAAACAAATCACAAGTGCACGTTGTTGACGAGGTACAATTTGATGCGGCATACCGCATGCCGAGGACATACCTACCAACACACACTGAGCTGCAAATATGGTATTTTGTCAATGAAGGACGAGGAGGGTGTCGAACGCGGGTTTGAATGTGATGTAAACCACCGTCACTAAACTTATGAAAACATCCTACCAAACAGCCTCTATCGCGCATCTATTAACTTTGTAGCGGGATTCTCCTGCACCCTTAGTCGTTGCAGAAACGTTTAGCGGGAAGTTGGCCTTCGAGTCGCCAAGCGATTAGGCTGCCGCATGGCCGAATACAACACGCCCCCCTCCCCCCCCTCTTTCTAAGCCCCGAGGTCGACTTTTTTAAATGTGTAAACACGACATACACAAGTTTTTTTTTAACAGAAATGTTTAGTTTTCGGTGACATGGTAAATACTAGCTCAACAGGTAGGATCCAGCCAACGCTTTTTCTGTCAAGTTATCTTTCTGTATACCCTCCTCCCCAAGTGTGATCCATAAAACCGGCCCTGAGCACAGAAATATCAGGTAAAATTTGGAATCCAGTCAATCAACATGCGTTCTCGTTTTAGGTCGTGATGGCTGGTAAAGGCTTAATCGTTCCCTAATAACTTTTGCACGACCGCCAGTACTTGGGTTGCTGGTTTTGGGTTTCTTTCATCGAGAAGAGACATTTTTGCTTCTCAAGATCACGCAGACAAGACGGCATGCTTTACTTCCACTTTGCCTCAATATCCAAAGGATGTGTCAGTTAACTGACGGCACACACTGCAAGTAAAGCGGACGCGTGCTTCGACTTGTTAGCATTTGGCTCGCTGGCAGCTTTAGCAATACGTCTCTCGAGAACGGAGATCTTCACAGCACTAACAGCTCAGTCGAAATACTGCCAACCATTCGCTGCAACATAAGTCTAGTTGCCTTTCCCCCGGGTCATATCTGGCAGCAGCCAAGACTGACCGGGTCCTTTCTTCCGTTTTTCTAGTGAACCAAATGATCTTTGAAGGTCTTCGAGAGGCGCTCTGTGCAAGCCAGAAATCCCCAGATACGAACAGCATGAGACGCCGAGCTGCAGGAAGCATCGGTGCCAGGCCGAGCGTTCCGGTAGCCCCCGCTCAGCCCTCCGCGGGTGGCAGGCTGCCCGCACCACAGTCGCTGTGCGCGCAGCCTGCACCGGCACAAAAAAGGAGTCAAGAAGGTCCGTAAGCGTGGGCCACAGCAAAGATAAGCACGTTTAATGACATTCCACCGTGGTTACCTTTGGAGCTCGTCTGGAAGTGGCTGAGTATCTTCGGGGTCGGCGGTTCCGCCCATATCCCGTTCCCCAGCACGGCGGCGGCCGACCGCGCCCACGCTTGCCTTCCTCCCCGGCTGCCGTCCATCGCACGGACACGCACAAACACACACACACGCACTCACGCACGTCGGCGGTCCGTCCGTCCGTCGGGTCAAAAGGGTGACAATGGAATGATGGGGGAGCGTCTGCAATTAAGCCCAAGGGGTCACTGCCAAGAGTCGTATATGTACACACATTCGGAGTCGTGGCCGGCGGTCCTCCCCGTAGCGCTCTCTCGTGGGAGGCCCCACGGATGCCCCGCCGCTTCGCACGCCGGCGTACACGCTGCTAGGTCCGGCCAGGGGGTCGCCCGCCCGTCTGCCTGCTGCCCGTGGCGCAAGAGGAACACCGCGCTGCGAGACGCCGCTGCAGATCAGCCGTCGCGGTCTTGGAGCTGAAACCTACCAGCCTGCTGCGCCGCAGCCCGCGGTATATGCTACCGCGCGCGTGCGACCGCAGCAAGCTGCCGTGCACACAGGGGGCACGGGGCCAGCGCATCAGCGGGAGCATGCAGAGCCCTGAGCGCGCGTTCCCGAAGAGCCCTCGCACGGTCGCCGCCCCGGGACTGGCTGCCGTCGACAAGCTCTCTTTCTTACCCCCTCGATTCGTCAGAATCTCTGGCCCAACAGGTCCAAGGAGCTCAGCAATGAATCACAAGCGCCCGTGGAGCGGGGTCCATGGGCACGCGGGAGTTGTCTTCGAGCAAAGCAGAAAAAGGTCCCAGTTGGTTCATCGGCGCGACGAGGGCTATAGACTCCGGAAACGCGCAGCCACAGATCAAATACAGAGCGAGGCCAAAATATGAAAACTGAAAATTAGTCGAAACAACGCAGGAAATAACCGCGCCATCCTAAGCCTAACTATAGCTCTCAAGCGAGTGCCGTCGTTCGAGTGCCAAGGAGTTGGCAGGCCCTGGGAGTCTAGACATGCTTCGCCACAACTTCTCAACCCCGGAGCCCGCGTGCCAGAAACTATCTGCCCTGAACCGCTCTTAGTTTGACCGTACCCGTCCGAAATGGGGAAGCCCGCTTGCCGCCTACCTCGTCCGATTCCCAAACCAAACCCAAGCTTTTTGAGACGCGAATGTCCAGGGGGATTTCATGCACCAATGACAGCTTTTGCTTCTTAGAACAATGATGGGGATTGCATCACAGCTTTTTGCGAGCCCGAAAGCACTAAGAAAAAAAAAAAAGATGTCGAAACACTCGCAGGGTTCCCGTTTCTCCTTGGCTTCAGTTTGCTCATAGCAGCCACGCGATTGAACGGTTCAAAATGTTTGTTCGCGCACGTGCAAAAAAAAAAAAAAAAGAAAGCGTCATCCTTGGATGGGCCGCAATGTCGCACTCCGCACACCGAATGCTCGCGGACAGCTCTGGGCTGCCACAAATCCGCCCGTTTCACCAAGCACTCGAAGGTCGCCCCAACAGCACTTGGTGCGCTCAAATAGCCCTGCTTCCGAGGTCTCCGGGGCGTCGTCTGATCAGCGCACTGTGAGAAGCGTGTATCGAGCGCCAGCATCTCGCGATTCCTCCGGGCCGAGCGAAGTACACCCCCGAGTACGAAGCACGAAGTTCCGACGGCGGCGGCTTCTGACCCGTCTCGAACCGGACGCTAATTAATTGTGCCTGGTATTCCTGCCCGACTGTTTTCCGGGTCAAAGCCACTGAGCGATTTCCGTCCGACGGTTAGGCGGAAGCAAGGCCTTGACGCCGCGATGATGATGTTTGTCATCATCATCATCACGGCCCTGCTCGGCGCCATCTCTCGAGCGGCTGCGCCATTCTAAACGCTTGCGAAAACACCCGATGCCAGAGGAGTTACCCGTTCGATACAAAAGACGACGGCGCATTTCATAGCGAAGCTGTAGATGACTCGTTGGGCGGCTTTTTTTCGTGTTGTCATCCTCACGAAAAAAAACCTTTAGCGATTGAAGCGAAAAGTGCAAATTACGGATACAACATACAGCACAGCATTCTTTTCAAAAAAGAAGCACAAAACAAGCATACGAACCAAATAATTGATGATAAGGAGCTCCTGACTACAATGCGAAGCACGGCAGCTTGCGATGTGGGGAGGGACGTAACTAGCCCTTCATACAGGGTGTTTCACGTACGTGACAGAAACAATATCCTCAAATTATTGTATCCGAGGTAAAAGAATGATGTTCTAGGGACCGCATTAGTCGTGGAGGCGGACGTCAGGAAATGCGCGATACTTACTAATTAGTTCGCTAAGTAACTAAAACTTGCTAATCATCTTTTTAATTAGTGAAAATAATAGATGGTTCCAAGTAGACACTTGGTGAGCATCATCAAAAAGCACTAAATTAGTAATTTTCAGAAACACTGAGTGCGCGACAAGCGTAGTCGTGCTTTTGACACGTAACAAGCGTAGTAGTGCCGCGCGCGCGGCTGTAGCCATAGCCACCGGTGCAGGCGTCTCGACGTCCCTGTGGCGGCGCGGCGGAGGAGCAAACATGGCGACCGTTTGTTTGATCGGTTCGGTTTGGGTTCGGTGCTGTGTGCGCCTCAAACTTTTTCGTGAGAACGTTCGTCTTGGAAGTTATTCCAACTGCCAGGGGTGACACGCAAGGTGTTGGGAAATCGCCATCTCAACTAGCAGCAGGCGGGTCCTCACGAACAACAACGACGGTGCCCAGAAGCGGCGGCATGAAGGCGAGCGAGATTGGTTGGGTGGTTTGAGTTCAAGGTCGGGCATCTGCTTGCCGGAATGTTACTGCCACAACCGACGAAGGAGTTAACACCAAGGGCGTAGAAAGAATTTCGAGACGGTGCACTTTGTACCGGAGAGACGTTTGGCGTCGGCAGGTTTGACGAGCCAGCCATTCGATGCCGCCGCTAGACGAAGGAACGTGTTCTGTGCTTCGGGATTTCTCTGCTGGGTTAGTATTTTGGACTGCGTTGCAGGTATTTACTTCCATTCGTGTCGTTTTGATGGTGCTCGGGGATTACGCTTTGTCACCGCTAATTTTAATATCACGGTCGTAAGACCTGATAATTGTTGCATTCGGTGTGACTTCCTTGGCATAAAGTCAAGAAAGCATCTCCGTGTACTTTCGAACGAAAGCGCCAAGTGACTCAAGAAAACCACAGAAGCGATTTGCGCTAGCCTTTTCTCTTTAATCTCTTTGCACCACTGAATGTCTTCGTGGATACAGGTTTTCTTCCGGACTTGTCTCAGCAAAGTTGGACACGGTGCATTAGAATTTTTGAATGAATACAGTCTACACAATTACTCAACAAAACGATTTCCATTTTTTTTTTTTAGCTTGACTGTGTCGAAAAGAAAACATGGTGTTGCTATTGTCCTGAATATATGTTTTGCAGTAATGTTTTCTTCGACATTATTGCTTTAATAGTAATATAATGGTAGCACAATGACGTTTGCGCCTGTTTTATTGTTAATCGGAATAATTTCCGCTTTGGGCATAAATAGGGCGTCTTAAAGCCCAGTAGTGCCGGTTGCTCGGTGCCAATGGTGGCCCAGCAACTATGTGCGTCGCGCGGCGGGCTTTTGCGTGCATGTGTCTTGGATCCACACAACTATCGCCGCATATCGGCAGCTGATGCGCTCTGCGGAGCGCCGCGCGGCGTCTAGTTTCACCCCTGATGTGTCCCTTGCTTCAGAGACGGACAAAATCGCGCGTGCGCCTCACGGCAACCGTCAGCCCTGTGCCTGCTCCACGAGTGGCAAGTGGAGTGCACTACTGCACTTGTCATGCGCTCAAAGTCTTTTTGAAAATGACTAATTTCTGGGTTTTTGATGAGGCTAAGAAAGTTTCTAGTTGGAACCGGATATCTATTTTCACTATCCGAAAGCTAATTAGTTATTTTTAACTAGCGAACTAATTCGTAAGCATCGCGAATTTTCTGACGTCTGCTACCAAGAGTAATGCGGTTCCGAGAAAATTATCCTTTCACATCGAGAAAAAATCGTGAGGATGCAGGCGAGTTGGTAAATAATTAAATTAACCCGAGACTGGGGTAGAGACCAAACATCAAAACGTACAAGGGGCAGAAAATAGACAGGACGACGTGTCAAAAGTTTTGAGACGTCGTCTTGTCTATTTTCTGTCCCTTGTACGTTTTGATGTTTCTTCTCTACCCCAGTCTCGGGTTAATTCAACATGGTTTACCATCGAATACACTAATTTTAGGGATTTCTGACACTCTTACGTGAAACACCATGTATATAAAACGTTTGGGTACAGCCCATTTCCCTTTTCTTTCGTCCATCATTTGGTCGAGTGCAGAGGGCAACGCTGCAGCTGACACCCCACAGCTTCGCTGGCCAACCACCCTCGCAGCGTGCATTGGAGCCCCGACTTATGGCTTTTTTGGTTTCTCCCTTTTTTGCTTCTTTTCATTTTTGTTTAATTATTTTGTTTTCCTGCAAAAAAAATTCCTGTTGTAGTTATCGTCGTTGTTGTTGTTTTCTCTCGCGCGCGGCAAACAAGGCTGGCTCTCGGAGCCGTGTAGGAAACAATACAAGTTGGGCGGCTGCTTCTACAAAGTGACCTCCCCCCCCCCCCCCCCCCTCACCACCCAAAAAAGAACAAAAAAAAAAAACGTGTCTTCTTTTTTTTTTTTTTATTCGCAAACGTTGACTATGCGCTGTCGAATGATCATTCTCCACCCAAGATTTAGCGCTAGCGGTTCGACCGAGATGCCACAGTTTCAACAATAACCGTTATCTCCTTGAAAAATTCAAAGGAATTGTCTTAAAATTTTGAAAAGGGGGAAATGGCAGCCGCCAGAACTCTCGAATATGTGGACTCTATGGCGCCAGAAACCGAAATCGGACGTAAATGGGGTCCATTCTAATCGTCATTTCCTGAAAATCACTTATAACTTTTGAATTAGATATCGGTTCCTGCTGAAACTGTGGCATACCCCTAGCGCCATATTTGGCATGAGAACAAACTTTCGGCGATGCATATTTTATCTTTGCTGTTAAAAATAAACCTTTTTTTTTTTTTTTACGCTTAGGAGGTTTTGGATCTTGTAGTTCATTCTGATCACTCACACTTTCTTAAACCGGGTTTTCGCCCTTTTTCATTTTGATAGGGCCTAGAGTTGGCCATTTTGCGATCAGACAGACTGAAAGAAAGGCCCGCGCGCGCACATACACACGCCTAAAGCGGATCGTCACCGCTTCTTCCCCACCGCTGGATCGGGTGAGATGACCCAGAGCCGTGTATAGAGAGAGTTTGGTCAATAGGAGGGGCGGGGAGAGCCAGGGCGTGCACCAGACGCAGAAAGAGGGCTTGACATGCTCTCTAGGCCAACCAGAAGCCGAAAAGAATCCCCAAGCGGTGGTAGCTAGAAACAGTTTTAATAAGTGCGTACGAGTCAAATGTAGTAACTCTTCATGGTTGAAAGTATGGTGCACGTGATGTTTCGATTTTGATCATGCAAAAACATGTAAGAAGCGAATGTGCCG